GGGGAGCCGGAATCCGCCCGTTCTGAAGGGATGTTGCTCGCCGGGTGGCGGTGAGGTGTGGGCATGGCTTTGTTCCTGCCCTTTGGGGTGTAAAGTAGAGCGCTGTAGTGCTGTGAGAGCTGAAGGGTGAAATGACGTGATAGGAGGTTTTCACGGTCTTGCTCGTAGGAGACCGAAAAAAGTAGTTAATTAAACTCCCCCACCTTGACCAACAGCGGTGGAAATACCAAGATCAGGATATAAACTGGTGTTTGGGATTGGGCTTCAGGAAGCTGGACCCGCTAGGGTAGCCTGAACTTCTGTGTGATAGTACGGTTAGAGCTGGTGACTTTCATTTCTGGACGGAGAATGTCACCTTTCCTTCATGATGTGTGACCCTTAGTCTTTGCATTGGAGAGCAGAAGTTGTGATGTTAGGTGGTTTTAATCTTTGTAAGGTACTTGTGTTCCTCCCAGGGTTGGCAGTCTGTAAGGGGCCTGCTTGCACATCATTCTGGCATTTTCTACTGAAACTTCAGTGAGAGGAGTATGCCTCTCTTATTGTGCTCTGTTTTCTTCTCAAGCATGATGAGTAATAACATTTGTAGCCAGCTTTTTTGATATTTATCATGTTCCTCTTATGGCTCAGTGTTTTCATGCAACTGTAAGCTAGATCTGGTTAGCAGAAACACCATGTTCAAACTGCTGGAAATAAAGCCAAATGGACAGGAGAGGCAAGGGCTGAGTACACTGTGTTCAAACTGTTGGAAATAAAGCCAAATGGACAGGAGAGGCAAGGGCTGAGTACTAAAATGATTTTAAAATGGGAACCACAAAATTTAGCCTTACTGAAATACTAACAGCCTATGTTGATGGGAAAGACAACCTGATTCTGAAAAAGCTTATAATTAAAAACAGTAGCTGCTTTCTGATTACTTTGAACTGGGCTGGTCTCATTCATGTGTGGTGGGTTACATTCATTGTTTTATGAGTTACTTGCTAAGTATGTAATCCAGGGAACCAACAAAGTGTCTCTTAATCTGTTATGCCTGTGTTTTCAAGCAGATGCTACTGATTTTCTGCCTTCACAGCTTAGGAATGCCAAAACTTCAGTCACAGTGCAGATTCCCTCTCTCTGCATTCACTCTTTCAGTGAAGCAGGAAGTTATTTCCACAATATGGAAACCCATTTCCTTGGTTTTCACAGTTCCCTGTAAATGGTAATGTGGTGGTTTTTCCTTTTGCAAACAGTTCTGCGCTTGAGCATAAAGAACCACAGCCTGTAAAAAGTACTGGGATAATTTGATGGTTGCTAATATTTGTGGCAGAGATAAAAAGAAAAAAAACCCACCAGCAGGGTGGAGTCATTCCCTTTCTGATTTCCACTTACTGATTTTGCAGGTAGCTGTGGTGCGTGATGGGACTTGTTGAAGGCTGTCCATAGGTGTTTCCTTTAAAGTGACCAACATCTGCATTAAATCCAATTTCTTCTTTCTTCTGCAGTATCTTGCAAGCTTGAACCCTGAGGGTTCATGCAGGCTTTAGTTAATCAAAGAATAATCCTATAACATGGATTACTACATAGTCTGAATAGCACCTCACCTGTATAAAAGGTGTGGAAACGTTACCCCTCTCAGATTTGTATTTTGGGTAAGAACAATTCTAGTAAGAACATAGTGGCTCTGAGTATTTCTTTGAGGTAGACAGATGTACTGGTTTTGCCTGGGAAGGGAGTAAGTTTTCTGCCCAAAACGGTGTTCATAACACGCCCATGTTCGTTATCACTGAAGAGTGTTTGTACAGCCTCTGGCTTCTCTGTTTATCGCGCTACCCTGCCGGTGAGGCCAGGGGTGGGTAAGAAGTTGGTAAGGGACACAGCCAGGAAATTGTGTTTAAAGACAGGCTACCCAAAGGGTTACTCCAAACCATTATGTATGTGGCAATAATTGCTGGGGAAAGAAAGAGGAAGGAGAGACATTTGAAGGAATAGTAAGGCACAATGAAGCCCTCCTTTCCTGAAAGTGGCTAAACACCTGCCTGCCGATGGGAATTAGTGTGTTAATTCCTTACTTTGCTTTGCTTGTGTGCACAGCTTTGTTTAACCTATTAAACTGTCTTGATACCAATCCACAAGTTTTCTCACTTTACCCTTCTGATTCCCTCCACCATCCCACTGGGTAAGTGAGAGCAGCTGCATGGGCTGCTGCTGCCAGGCAACAGGGTAGTGAGGCTACAACAACAGGCAGGTACTGCCCTGTTTTAGTGTATTGTTATTGTGTTAATGTCAAAACTACTTATTTTGAGTAACCTGCAAAGGATCCCCTTCACTAACAAAATGTGACTTTCTGGTATTTCCCTGAAATGTTTTGTAATTACTGATAAAATCCACCATTGAAATCAAATGTTTTTAAATTACACTGTAAGTAGCATTGTTGTTAAAATACACAATTGATGCTAACAGATCTCATGGATGACAGGGTCTCCAAACAAGTAGTAAAATTCTGGGAAGGCAATAACCACTGCATTTTGTGATTTGCCAGAATATCTGGCAATAATATTCGAGGTTATAGTGCATTGAGAAAGTGTCAGGCTGAATTTTGGTATGGCGTCTGCAGCCTATAAAAGCTAAAGAGATAGCAGTTAGTCACTTAAATCTGAAGTTGGAAGTTCAGTTTCTGAGGCTGCTTAAAGTTTTTGCAAAATTGTGAATATGCCTGGCTTGACATGTTGCTGGGTATTTGGGACAATGAGACTTGTAGTCTTGTGCATAATTAATAGAATGAATAATTTCTTTTTCCTCAGCTGAAATCTGTAGGTTACTGTTTAGGATGACTTAATTTAACATCATAGCTATGTCTTTCCTCAAAGACAGGCAGGTGATTTACAAAACCCCAAAAGGATTAAATTAGCAGTTGGTTTTGTCAAGACTTAAGTCAAGGAACAGGAGCTCTCACAGTACAGTATTCCTGATTAAATGATTAGAAACAATTTAACCTTTGAAAATTACCTTAAAGACACTTTTCCTAAGGAAACAATTGTGGTGCATTTTAGCACATGCGTGTCACATGGTTTCAGTTTCCATATATACAAATGATGGCTGTTGGTTTTTACTTAGAAAAATACATTGTTGATTATATTAAATAACAGTTGCTCACTACTATAATCTTCTTCAAAATTACCTTGCAGGTCTCTCTCTCTCTTCTGTAACAAATGAGGATGAAAATGCTAAACAGCACTGTAACCCAACCACTCCACCATGTGAAAATTGGGATGGGAATTCAAAGATGTCTCCATTTAGGAGAAGATGCGTATTCACAAAGATGACGACAAACTCTTCCTCAGTGAAACCTGAAATTGAGCTTTCAGACTCTGATGATGAAAGTAGACTTGTCATTGATGTGCCACCAGAAGTTCCTAATAAAAAGCCAAGAATAAGAAGGAATTGTAGAAATGGTAACAGGGACAAAGAACTGGCAGCTGTAGTATGTGCAGGAAAATTACATGATGATGCTATAGCAGACATTTTTGGGTGTACAGAAGAAAAATCTGAGGAAATTATTACTTTGCAGGAAAACAGCGGAAGTTTAAATAAGCTTGAAAAACTAGGCAGTGTTTCTCCAAAAGCAAATGAGATTTATTTGCCTGATGTAAGCACTGGTATATTGAAGGGTTTGGGGAAAACAGGTGCCCTTACTTACAGTGAGGAGAAACATATATCTTCAGCTGCTTCTACTAAGGCAGGCATGAAGAAGGGAATTCTAAAGCAAGGAAATGCAGAAACTAATATATTGGTCAAAGCATTTCAGGAGAGTACTACTAATGAAGTCTGTGTGAAGAGCAGAAGAGTAACAGAGTCTCCCTTGTGTACTGGTCACTCATCAAAAGATGGAACTGCCATTGGAAGACCTTATAAGGGAATTATAAATCCAGAGAAAAGACATAGTATAGAAGAAAGTGGGGAAGATGATACCCCAGAAGATACTTACAGGTATCCAACTTATTACCTAAACAAGAAAGAAAGTGGGCTGGGCTCATCCACTGAGGAAGCAGAATCCAGTGGGGAGGACACAGAGCTCTCTGAATCTGATGATCCTTTAGAGGAGTGTCGAAGAATATTTGATGAGTTTGAAAGAGAAGCACAAAAGAAGGACCATGATAATCAGGTATTTTTTTTCCGTTTCAGTGCTTGGAGGTTTTTTTCTGAGCATATTAGGGGAGGATGTGATATCTAGTCAAGTTCAAGTACTCTTTCCAAAAATGCGTGTTAGTAATGGTTAAATATTGGAACCTTCACTGCCAGTATACAAAATCATAAGGAACACTTAATGACTCTCTAGTTTAACAATGGATGATCTCTGTTTCCTGAAGCAGAAAATTGCTCTGAATAGTTCCTTGATAAATGGGTATCTATTACTTCTACTGTAATAAACAAAGCTTTAGAGGCAGTTGAGTACTCAGTAGTCTTCCGCTCTTCTTATAAACAAATGTAGCAACATTGAGTACCACTGCCTCACCTCCGAAGTACTGTGTTCTGAATGTAAAATAACTGTCTAATGTTGATGGGCTTGTAATTTTGCTGGTGAGTTTTTGACTGTATAACCTGAAACATTGGAGTGAATGGGTCATGAGAATATTACTGAAGTCTAGAGCTTCATAAGATTTGGTCTAAATAATCTATTCTTGGTTTTAATAGGCCCATGGAAGAAATGTAGATCTCGATTTGTTAGAAATTAAAGTAAATGTTCCTGGACAAAAGAGAATTGCACACATGGTGAAATTAGATGTGGGTTATAATCTTGTAATAAACTGAAGGTCAACATAATATGTGTTGAACTTGAGGTTGGCAGAGTTTTGTAATCTAATAGAAAAAATATGCTGAAATTAGAACAAATGTCTCATCAACTCTTCTGTTAAAAGCTGTAGCAAATATTGTAGTACTTAGAACTGGCTCCTGATGCAGGTAAAACAAGCTGCTGACAAGAGTAGCTGACACTAATGAGAATTGAAAAGTCAGTTTGGAGTGGAGGCTTCTACCATGAAATTTCAGATACAGCACTTGGAAACCCAAAGTGGCTGGTTTTGCAGTGCTTTAGGTGGCAATGTTAATAGTGGACATAATTCTTTAAGCCACCTACACCACCACACCACCCCCCAAGCTCTTTTGGCTTGGCGTTTTCCTTTCAGGAGCAGCATGCTGAATCTGATAGCAAAATTCTGTTATAAGAAACAGTGTTTTAACTTTAACACTATCTTGCTGTGATTTGGAACTGCTTGAATATTAACTCTGGATTTGTTTATGTGCATATTAGGTACCTAACAAAAATGAAATGGTGCTTTTCAACACGTCTTCTTGGCAGCAGGGTCATAATGCAGAAGTTCAGCAAGCAAGCTTCCCTTCTCCAGTGTGTACCTGGTTTCCTAAATAGAATTCTGCATGCCCCAGTAACAGTGAGACTAGGTTGTGACATTGATACATACTGTGTTCCCCATTTGTAAAAAACCTCCTTCTTCTTGGTAGTAGCATGCATGTTTAAATGCTGCTTTTAAAGGATCTTCCTTAGCAAATAAATATGATCTAGACATAGGACTCAAATATCCATGTTTGACACACACTGCATTTTTGTAACTTTTTTGGGTATTACAGTACTATGGTTAGCATAACTTATGGGTAGATTGAGTGTGATGATTTTCTGTGATGAATTTTGTGTTATCTTAAAATAAGCATATTGTGATAAGCAAAAACTCTACATTGCATTATCTAGCAAAGGCTATAGATTCCTAAAAATATTTATTTTTTAGTCTCGTTTATTGGGTCTTTAGTTTATGCTCTGAGTGAAATACGTCTGAAATAAAGGCCAGATGGAGAGCATGACTTAAGTCATAACTGAACTGCTAGTCCTTGCTGAACAACTGAACTTTACGTAAGAAAAAAAAAATAGTTTTAATACTTGCCATAACCTTGAGGAGAAGACTGATTTGTTAAGTTTAAGTAGGGAAAACCTCTATAACTACTATTTCTGGCTCCTTGTATTGTGCAACTCCAGTTTTCTGAATAGCTATTCAGTAGTGTTTGATTTTTTTACTTAGGGTTTTCGTCTGAAGATAGGAAAAAAGAAGAAATGTCTGAATTCATTTTACTTTTTTGGGCTATTTGTTACACATTGACCACATTACCATGATATTTTGTTTTGGTTAGCTTTTTTAAAGCTTTTACTTGGAAAAGGCCTTCCACTCCAGAATCAGGATGCAAAGTACCACAAGAGACAAGACAGTGATATTTCACTTGTTTTCTTACGGAATGCTTCAAAACATGTAGCACAGTGAATGAGGCTATTAACAAGGTTTGTTATGGATTATAGTTCTTTACAATTCTTCAACTGAATTAAGTCAACACTTTTATCTTGCACAATGTGTTGGTGGGATCTTATTTGGTTAATTTTTTTAAAGCATAATATTTCGGTAAGCAGAAGTTAAAATGTACTCAATCTTACACTTGCCACTGTTGTCAATCAGTGTTTCCTCCAAGTAAAAACATTTGTCTTTAGCACTGCTAATTAGTTTCTAATAAGACATGCCATTTTGGTATTTAAAAAGAAAAAGTTTTCTCTTGTGACTGCAAAATAAAAATCTTGTAAATTCTGGAAGCTTTCTGGAATGTAATAATGGCTTTGAGATTTATTCAGGACAGAAGGAAAACATGTGTGAACTGTAAATCTTTTGACCATTTTGAGCCTTCGATCTCATATTTTCTGTTTACACCACACCAAGTACTACTTTTGCAGGTAATGTCTGACAAACAGAAATATCTCAAGCTTAACCTTTAGGTGATCTGAGTTTCTTGCAAGCTTGAAATAAGAAGAATTTAAGGAGCTGTGCTGGTAAGACTATGTGGCTGTTATTAATTATGCATTGAATGGAAGTTTGGAAAACATCAGATGATACTACTCTGCTGTTACTGTGTTCTCTCCATTATGTAACATACCTTGGTATGCCTGATTTTCATTCTCACAAAGTAATGTTTCTTTTACCTTCCCTTTAACTCCATAGATTCATAGAATGGTTTGTGCTGGAAGGGCTGTTAAAGACCATCTAGTTCCAACACCTCTGCCTTGGGTGGAGACACCTTCACTAGACCGTGTTGCTCCAAACCCTGTCCAACCTGGCCCTGAACACTGCCAGGGATAGGGCAGTTACAACTTCTCCAGGCAACCTGTGCCAGTGCCTCAGCACCCTCATAGTGAAGAATTTCCTCCTGTGATAATTCTCAGGTTCATCCGTTTTCCCCTTTCTCTTCCTCTGCTTAGAGGTTGTAACTTGTGAATTGTAGATGCTGTAGTGATTGTTAGAAGGCACTATTTATGCCTGAAATAAGCTTCATTTTCTTAACAACTACCTAGGTAGTGTTAACAGTAAAATAAAACTAAGGAAGAAGCATTTTTCTTCCCCAGAAGATTAATGCATGTACTCCTTATTTTGAGAATGCTTCTTCCTCATTAAAAGGTGCTGGACCTTCTTCTGATTTCTGTTCCTTACAACTTTACAGAAAGAAAATTAAGAGACATTTCTTGACCTAAAAATAATGCCTCCTTTGAAGCAGGATCAGAAAAAGCTGCCTTTAGCCAGGGAATGTTTACCAGTAAGAATGGTTACCCTAAGAGGCTCAAATCCTCCCAGGGATTAGATTTAAATTCTGAGTTGAAGCACTGATTTCCTCAGTAGGTCTTTGCTTCGTAGGTGCCGTATTTGTCTTTTTAGCTGCTACATGCCCAGGAAACTTGTTCCAATGGTTCATTATCCTGGCTGTGAAAAAACACAGGGTTTCTTTCTAAACTGAACCTCGGTAGCTTTAGCTTTAACCCATGGATCGTACATGTTTTTCATCTGCTAGTCAGAGCTCTGCTATCAGATTTTTTTTCTTTTCCTTTTGCTATGAAGGTATTTCTAGACTTAAAGGTTCACCTCCTTACTCCCTGTGATAAATTAGATTCCAGTAATGGTCCTGTAATTGAATTATATAGATTTAAGACTTTCTCTTGTACTCCTACTTAATACTTCTGATATATGCACTGATAGCACTCAGCATCTTCACTGCATCAAGCAGAGCTCTAATGTTCAGGTGGGTTTGTAAAATATTTTGTAGATCCTATTTGGTAACACTGTTTTTCACCGTAGTGTCTCCCTTTCCGAGCAGGACTTTAAATCCATCTGACATTGTGTCTCCTGTTGCACTTCAGATTGTATTGTTCTGCTTCAGATTGTTGTACTACTTGTATTGTAACTACCTTTAGGTTCACAGTCCCAGATTCTAAATGGCAGTGCTTTTTGTAGAACATAGTGCTCCACTAAATGTCTATTTTTTTTAATTTTTTTTTTTTAATACAGTCCCTGATAGAAGAACAATCTATTTATGATCATCATGGCAGTAAAAAGATGTACCTGAATCTTACTGTGAAGACTCTCAAAAAGCTACAAGATCTTGGTAGTTTTGCTTTCAATTAAGATTTTTTTTTATAATAAGTTACAAGTGTAGAAATCAGAACAGCAGAAAAAAGTCTGAAAATGATTATTTAGTTTAACTTTACTAAAGATATTTCAGTATATTCAAATCCTTTTGTAGAAATATATCACTGAAATAAATTGGTGTTTTGATTTATAAATGTTTGCTTAGGATATTAGCAGAAATTGAGAAGAAATGCTAAAGATACGTTTTCATGCATTCAGGGCAACTTAATAACAGTGGATCTTCCAGCGGCACTGGATCCCTAAAGTCGGAGGAAGAGAAAGGTAAAGAAAGAGGAAGGAAGATGTCAGTTCTCCACGTTAGCCTAAAAATTGGCTTATTTCAGCATGAAAATATTTCTCTGGTTTTGGTCAACCTTTATCTATTTGCCACTGCAAGGTTTTCCAACACAATTCCCTGAAGACTCGTTCCTAGGGGAAAATGTTGGAACTTTGTTTGGGAAGACCATGTTCTTTAGTATTGCATATCTAGCCTTTCTGGGATAGCTAGTGAATCATCATGCTTATATAGTGTCTTTGTTTTGAATAATGCTTCACCTCTAATCACTTCTAATTGCTCTGAGATACAAGCATATACATTTTGCATGTAAACTATAGTGCACAACTTGTAATTTTGCCTTTTTTTTTTTTTTTTTTTTTTCATTTCGGAAGTACTATGTGTTTAAGTGCTGCTTACAGTTATTCTAATATTGCTTAAGCTTTAGGTTTGTTTATGTTTTGTTTTTTGATTTTGGTTTTGGGTTTTTTTTTAGCATTTACAGGTGGTGATCTATATGAGCTTTTAAAAAATTATCTTTTGACTAAGGAACAGTTGAATGAAAATAACTTCCCTCGACCACATCCTGAAAAAAAAGGTCATGCTATTCTTACTGGTATTGTAAAAAATGCTGGATGTGATGGTAAGTGCCTAGTAGACTGCAACAAAACTGAATTTCCATCACAGAACAGTAAAATACAAGCGTATAAAATTATACATTATGGCAATGTTCCATATTTAGTGCCTGGACTGCAAGTGAATTCACAAGTTTTCAAAGCTAAACCATGAGGCTTCACATGGTTTTTTGTTTTTGTGTTTTTTTTTTTTTTTTTTTAAGGTGTTTGTTGTTTGTTTGTTTTTTTTTTTTTCCCAACATAGTAATTAAAGTCCTAGGTAAACTTGAATTTTTATTGTGCTATAATGGAACTTTTTTTTGATACATGGCTAATATTGAGACGCTTCTCGTGTATTGATATTCTCCTTTCTCACTTGCTGTTCATGTAACGTCTTTTATACTTCAATTCAGTATGTTTTAACTTTATGGCATGCCATCTAGGAAATACACTCTGCTTACTGGTTTTTAGTTTGTTGGGGTGTTTTTAGATTTCAAAAGGGTCTGCTGTAGGTGTGATGAAATATATGCTGTTACTTCTTTCGGAACACATCAACGTGAAGAGGAATGTAGCTATCATTCTGGTGGAGTATTGGAACAAAGAGGTAGGTATCCTTGGCATTCAATCTTTGTGGAAGCTTTAAATGTTATAATATAATATTTGTCATGTTGATAATACTTGACATATCATGTCAAAGCTGAACAAGATCAAAGTATGAAACTTTTTTTCCCCAAAATTTTCAGCTGAGATATATTCTGCTGTTCTTTTGGGAATGTGGCTAGTTAGTAAAGCCTGTTTTCCCTGAATATGCTGTAACTTTAGGAAAGCTGATATTGATAAAACCATGTGGGAAGAAGATGGCCTCGCACTGAGTTCTAAGAGAGCCTTGTCATCTTTTCTAAGAGACAAATTAAATACTCTGAACCTGCATTAAATATTCCCCTCAGTGAGAACCTTCTAGAATATAGTGCAACTTTCTCTTTCCTATTTATTGGTATTTCTTTTTTATGAAAACCTTATCTCAGGAGAGAACAATATACAGTTTGTCATCTTGGCATAGGTGGGACCTGTAGGTGGGATTTGCTGTTTTCCACAGTGCAGTTTCAGGAGAAAATGGAAAGGAAATTTGAGAGGCTGAGTGAGGGTACTAATTTGTTTTTGCCATTGCTAATTGCTGCTACTACTGCTTAATTACTGACTATTTTTTTTTTCTGTCAGTTCCTGGTGGTGTGGAAAAACATTATAGCTGTTGTGAGAGAGTGGTTGGGTCTTCTGGATGTCAGATTGCAAAGGTAAGAATAATGTTCTAAGAAGATTTATATAAAGCAGTATCTCACTTTGTTCTTCTGACTTTACAGAAAGCTATGGCTCAGTGTAAATGATTTGGTACAAACCTTTTGGGTGTGCTTATTAGTGTTCACTCAATTATGTGGCAAATACTGACAAGAAGTATTATATATATGCTCCTGAGTCTGTTAGAGAAACAAATTTTCTGGCAATTTGGATAAGATGTATCTAGCGAACTTGCACTTAAATACCCATGGAAATTTTGCAGCTTCACGTTCATAATGGGAGAAGGGAGAAATTGGAAGGCTTCATGAAGACGTTAATTAAATCACCGCCTCTTGATGGAACCCATGGTGTATATGCTCTGAACTGCGAGATGGTATGAGCAACCTAAAAATTTTGGTTCAGTTAATAGGAAATCATATTGCTGTTTATGAAGCAGTTTCCTAGCTGTAGTAGTTTGGCACTGAAGTCTCTGAGGTCTGCAGAATTCTGACTAGACATTTCAGTGTGACTAGTTATTCTACATGACTGACCTTTAGTGTTTAATATTCAATGGGCAAAATTATTTGGATCTGTTGACTTGGTATCTTGTTGTGGTTTGTGAACAAGTTACATAATTTAAGGAAACACTGCTGTGTAAATGCTTGTTAAAGGTACTTTTTTCTTTAGTGTTACACAACCCGTGGCTTGGAACTAACTAGAGTCACAGTGGTCGATCCTAAGCTACAGGTTGTCTACGATGCATTTGTTAAACCAGATGGTAAAGTTGTGGACTACGATATAAGGTATGCTATTTACTCTGTAATACTTCAGGATTAGACTTAATAAATTTGCAGATAACTATATAAGAAACATGCCTCTCTCAAATGTCTATTTTTAGTAACATAATCAAAGACCTTTGAGGTTTTTGTTCTTACAGGCTCAATTAAGAAGGATTTTTCTCTTTGCCTAGTTCCATTTATTTTTTTTTTTCCACGTTAGAAGACCTTTTCTCCTGTTCCTTCAAAAAAAAAAAAAAAAAAAAAAAAAGTTAAACCTCCCAGAACTTGCTAACTTCCTTAAGGGGATAGAAGCAAATGCAAATTTCATCTATAGATGTTGTCTTACAGAAAAGGTGTATAATCATAAGCCATGCATTGAGGTTATCAGACTGTACAGCTTTAATAAGATTTTTCTGTATTTAGCATAGATCTCATGTATTTGCTCTTCCTATTGTATTTTGTCATTGAGACCTGAAAGACATGCTTTTGATTCCTATTAGTTCTCTGAAGTTCTGCAACAGCTCTGTGAAGAAACACAAGTTTTGAGCCTCACTGTAAAGAAATTTGGAGGAGAATCAATGTAATATGTTCCTATTCCAGCAGCAATATTTGTTTGCTCAGAGCCCTGTGTTTGGTCCATGCTTAAAAAACATGGTCAGCCACTTGTAGTGGTAGAGCCAAGTTCATATCACCTACCTTAGTTTATCTTATACTACCTAGGTGAAAAGGAAGAGAATTAAAAAACGTCTTATGTTTCAGACTGTCAGACTTCAACACTGTTTGATTTTTAAAGATGGCTAGAGTTAACTTTAGATGCTGGAGAAATGACCACTGTAGATCCAGTTCTAGGTATTTCTTAGTATTTCTATTAATGAAGTTTTTTTAATCTCTCTTAGACTCTCTGGAGTAACAGACAATGATCTGAAGAATACCACAACAACTCTTCTGGCTGTACAGGCAATACTGCTAAACCTGTTCAGTGTGGATACAATCTTAATTGGACACAACTTAGAAAATGACTTATTTGCTCTCAGGGTAAAGTAGCCAGTTTAAAGCCAATTTTAGGAGGTGACTACTTGTCTGTACTGTGTTCTAATTAATTTAAAATATAAAAAGAATGTTGCATTTCAGTAGATCAATAAGTATGAAAAAATAAGATAATGTACTTGATTGTTAAATGATAGCTGTATTTAAAAGTATTTCATATCAGGAAGAGATGCGTATAGAAAATATGCTATGGTAAAGATCTTGACATTTGATCTTCCTACTTTGTTGCTTTGTGCTTCTAATCATACAACCATACATCACAACTGAATGATATTGTCTTTATTTCTGGGTTCACAGAAACCTACAATTGTATGTTTTCTGATCTTTCTGAACTCATGCCACCAAATGCATAGAAGGCAGTGACAATCCAAATAACACTAAGCTATTATTTTTAGAATTGCTGTAAACAATTATGCTGTTTGTCAGGTAATTCTAGGTACCAGAAATACATGGATTATGCTATTAAATATCAAAGGCAGCAATATTCCATAAGAAGCATAACCATCTGCTCAGGAAGGCTCTTATGATGCGGCACTGGAACAAGTTGCCCAAAGAAGTGGTGAATGCTCCATCCCTGGCAGTGTTCAAGGCCAGGTTGGACAGAGCCTTGAGCAACATGCTCTAGTGTGAGGTATCCGTGCCCATGGCAGGGGGGTTGGAACTAGATGACCTTAAGGTCCTTTCCAACCCCAACTATTCTATGACTCTAAGACTGTGAACAACACTAAACCAAGTTTTTTTTCCAGTGATGCCCAGTGCCAGGACCTAAGGCAGTGGGCACAGACTCAAACACAGGAGGTTTCCTCTGAACATCAGGAGAGTTTTTCACTGTGAGGGTGACCAAGCAGTGACACAGGTTATCCAGAGAGATTGTGGAGTCTTCTGCTTTGGAGATACCCAGAAGCCATCTGGACATGTTTCTGGGCAACAAGCTATTGGAAGTCCTGCTTGTGAGGGGGTTTGGACAAGATGACTTCCAGAGGTCCCATCCAACCATTCTGTGATATTACTAATAAAGAAATTGGAATTTAGCCTTGATAGGCTTCTTTGCTAGTGATGTGTAAAGGCTAATGCAAGTGAGACTTCGAAGTATGGTGCTGGCTGCCTAAACCCAGAATTAATCATGTTTGCTGTATATATACAACTGGTGAATAAATGTCAATGCATTGTACAGAAATCACTGCAAAGGATAATTTTTCCAGCTTTCCAGCTTTTGCTCCACAGTTTGCCATTCTCTAATAAAAAGTAGCACACAAGGACAGATGATGTAGTATTTGGGGCTCAAGGGTTAGTTTAGGTATATTATTGAGAAAGGAAATGGTTTAGATAATAGATGGGATTTTTTTATTTTTTAAGTAAAGGATGTGCAAGAATGTAACTGGATGTGTAATCATTACTGTGGCCTGTGCTCTTTTTCAGCTAATTCATGACATGGTGGTGGACACATCAATAGTGTTTCCTCATCCACTAGGTTTGCCTCACAAAAGAACACTTAGAAGTCTGACTGCTGACTACCTCAGGAGAATTCATCAAGATGATGGTAAGAGCTCAGGTCCTTATTAAGCAATCAGTACATTGCATCATGAAATGAGAGACAGGAATAACCCAGAAAACTGAAAAGATAGTAATACACCTGCCATCATTTAAAGCTTTGTCTTGGATATCTTTAGTTCAATAGTGTAGTAAAAGCAGAGGATATACCTGAAGGGTATGATTGATGGTGGTGTGGTTTAACCCTGGATGGCAAGTGAGCAGCACACAGCCTCTAACTCATTCTCCCCCCAGTACACTTGGCTTCTCAGAGTTACACAAAAGTGTTGTAACTTCTTTCACTTGCGAAGGGACATTCTTACAATTCTGAAGGGAGTGTGATGAGGTTAACATCTATGGTCAGGATTCAGTTGCTTATCCAGACTGACATAGGAGTTCTTCAGTAGTAAAATTAAATTTCTTTGCTGACTCTCAAAGACAAATCAATAAATCTGTTCTACAGCATGCATATAATACTCATGGAAACATTGCATTTGACCAATATATTTTGCATTGACCATGCCATTTAAGGAATTTTTTTAAACTGATTTTAGATACTCAATTTGTTCAAATAAACTGGCAGATTCATATTGGCTTTTATCAGTGAAGCCTTCCGGACAAAAAATAATATTCTATTCTGCTAACATACCTCCATTGCCCAGGGAATACATAAATGGTCACACTGAGCAAAACTTGATGGCCTTTGATAGCCAGTGGAGTAGCTGGATACTGCCTGTCAAAACTTATAATATCCCCTGACTTCCTTTGCTCTGGCAGGCTGATGCACAGCCCTGTGGTGGGGGTAAGAGGAATGTCAAAAGTTATTTCTACAGACTGTAAGATGGCTATCTCAAATAGTCAAAACTCTGCCTTTAGCAGACTTTTCTGCTTACATTTGCATTTAATCATTCTTTGTTGATCACCACTGAGCTAAAATCCAAGCTTAAACTATAGAACTAGGTAGCTGCCATTTCTAGGAAAAAAACCCAAAACCTAAAAAATCCTGACTCACGACTTCCACTCTGTATGTGTTTATCAGTTTCTGCTGCTGCTTTGTGCTAGTTTTTATTAGTTTTGTACTAAAGAAAGGTTATAAGTTTCAAGTCTGGATTTGCTTTGTTTGTGAACTAGGGATTAGGAGAATGAAATACCCTTTGCTATCAGAAAGCTGTAGGTCTCTGGTGATTTAACTTGCTTTGACTGCACTGCTTTAAGACAGAAGACACCTGAATTACGATGACATGTCTAAATGTCTGAAAATCTTTGTTTCTGAGTTGCTGCTGCATGTGAAACGTGATCTCAAATCACTGGCATTTCAGTTTTACCAGGAAAATACGGAAGTTGTTTCTTCTTCTAGAGTCATCTTTTGTTGTGATAGTGCTTAAGTCCTCTGCTTCTTTTGGGGATGGAACACCTCAATTAAATCTAAGAATTATTTATTAACATATATATATATTGTGGTTTCTTTCCTTGCCCGAGGTGGTGGTAGAATCAGTAGATGTGGAATCTGTTCAGTAATTCAGTGCTGTAGTGCAAAGAAACAAAACCTTCTTCTTTTTTAAGCTGCTAGCTCAGAAATGTGGAACGGAGAGGGGATTTTGCCACCTTCAAATGAAAATGCTGAACTGTATAGAATCATAGAATGATTAGGGTTGGAAAAGATCTTAAAGTCATCTAATTCAAACTCCCCTACCATGGGCAGGGATGCCTTCCACTAGACCCTGTGGCCCAAGGCTCTGTCCAACCTGGCCCTGAACACTGCCAGAGATGGAGCATCTGTATGCTGTTATTTCTTTTCTTCCACACTATTCTGGTTTCTAAATAACCAGACACTATCCCAAATCTGCTTATCTGCTGTCTTCAGTACCTTTATTAAAACTTTTACAGTCTAAATGGCATCATTATTTAACGTAACTTAAACAATACAGGATATTGTGTCCAGTTCTGGTGTCCTCAACATAAAAAGGACATGGAGCTGTTGGAGCAAGTCCAGAGGAGGGCCACGAGGATGATAAGAGGACTGGAGCACCTCCCGTATGAAGACAGGCTGAGAAAGTTGGGGCTGTTCAGCCTGGAGAAGAGAAGGCTGCGTGGAGACCTCATAGCAGCCTTCCAGTATCTGAAGGGGGCCTACAAGGATGCTGGGGAGGGAGTCTTCATCAGGGACTCTAGTGGTAGGACAAGGGGTAATGGGTTTAAACTTAAACAGGGGAACTTTAGGTTAGATATAAGGAAGAAGTTCTGCACAGTGAGGGTGGTGAGGCACTGGAATAGGTTGCCCAAGGAAGTTGTGAATGCTCCAACCCTGGAGGCGTTCAAGGCCAGGCTGGACAGAGCCTTGGGTGACATAGTTTAGTGTGTGGTGTCCCTGCTCATGGCAGGGGGGGTGGGACTAGATGATCTTAAGGTCCTTTCCAAACCTAACTATTCTATAATTCTATGATTCTATTTAGATTTGCCTTCATGTTTGTATAGGATTTAATGAGGTATGCATTCAAATTAGGCCATCTGAAAATTTTACACTGTAACAAACTTTTGTTTATGAAGATGATGGCTGAACTCCACCTATCCTAAAGTTGCTGGGAAACCTCAACATGCAGCTTTGGCTTTCAGCAGGGAGTGCTCAGAACTTTCAGTAGTTAATTACCATTAACCTGGCAGCCAGCATTTTCTTGTATTGTTTTAATGTTAGAGAGGGTATTCTGATGTCTATAATAAGTGCCAACTAATAAGACAATTGTATGCACTTCTTGTTCAAGTGACTACCGCTTTTTCCCCAGACAGAATACGTTAAAACCCTTTATACTGTAATTCATGTTGTTATGGGAATTGTATAAAATGTGTCAATTTGTAAGTTGTTAGCTTTATTAAGTGTTTGTTTTAAGCATATATAATTTAAACCCTTTAACTACTCTATTCAAATTTTGTGGTGGATTTCAGTAAATCAGGACAAGTAGATTGCCTTTAATTAATCATGGTAGAAACTTACCATCCAGTTGCAAAATCGACTTGTCATAGTTACTCTTTCAACTTCTGATTCAAAAGCACATGACTTGGAGAAGCTGGTTTTCCAAAGGCAGTTATGTTGGACACTCTAGGTTACTTCAGGTAGTAACTCTTGGTTGCTAATCTAGGCTCCATTGGATATTGGCGCTGGAGGATGTGGTGTTAAACTGAACATTTCTGGACAATATTGGATTGCTAGAAGCATGTGGTTATTACCTTGAATTCTAGTAGCAGGAAGTAGCACTAAAACCTGTTAAATACCAAGGATCATCTTAATATGTTCAACAATTGTTCAGCTTAAATAAGCAAAGCTACCATTTTTTATAAAGAAATAAATAATGTAGCACAAAATATTTTTGTTTGTTCTTCTCTAGTTGGCTATAATTCCAGGGAAAATGCAATGTCTTGTATGGAACTAATCCTTTGGAAGATCAAAGAGGATAATAGAATGAGAAAACAGTGATTGTTATGGCTCCAGTGGAACAAGATGTGGGAGGAAAAAATCAGCCTCAGCTTGGCTCACTACTGTGTAATGCTTCAGTACCAATTATTTTTCTCGTGTGAAAAGGGGAAAATCTAATGGAAAAACCTGACTGTACTTCTGATGCTTTATGTGTGCAGGAAGGAGAAAACACAAATGCAGAAAATATGTGCAATTAAGATGCACAAAGTAAATTCTGGGGTTAAACAGCTTTTTTTTGTTTTGGTTAGATTTCTGGGTTTTGGTTTTTTTTTTTTTTTTGTTTGGTCAAAGGAGTATTATTTCTGTAATTGTCCTTACAACTCTGTGTAGCTGAAAACTATCATTTGCAGTAAGTGAAAGTAGTGCTTGTTTCAAGTTGTGGATATAACTTTTTGATTTCACCTTGTTCAGTCTCTATGAAATAAAACTTAAATTTCTGCAGTGTGATTAAAGTTTGAAATTATTGTTTCCTTTTCCCCTTTCCCTTCCTGCTTCTCTCTACCTCTCCATCTGCTTTCAGAGGGAAAGAAAACAAACTTAGTCATGTTTAATGTACTAATAGATACAAAAAGGTAGAAATGTGACCTCTTCTGGAGCAGAATCAGCTGGTCGTTTAAGTTGAGGCTGGATGAAGCTTTTCAACTATAAAAGCAGTAAGTTTTGCCGATTTACAAAGGTTCCCAAAAAGTAGAGTATTTCAAATAAATACTTTCACTGGGCTATACTCCAAGATATAATCACCTGTCTCCCACTTGAGATAGGAGTCAGCATCTGCTACCTTCAGAGAGGAGAATTTTAATGTCTGTTGCCACTTATTTTTGTGCAAAGGAAATGAAAATGTAAGAATGGACCACCCTTTTTGTATGACACTAGCTCCCAGCCAAAGTTACACTTGCACTGATTAGCCAAAGAAAGCTGCAAGTGACAAGGAAAAAATGGTCCTGACTGAAGACTCTGTAAAAGTAAATTGGTAGTGTAAAAATCTCAGAGTTCTCGGATGTGCCCTGAAGAATGATTATACTGTGTGATGAAATCTGTGTTGAAGGTTAAAAATCACTATAGCTGCTTCTCGCGCATTAAAGAACCTGGAGGCCATGTCCCATTCTGTGAGATACTGACAGGCCCTGTCTGTTGTTAGAAATAGGCAGGTTCTGATTTTTGTTCACTCAAGAATAGGTAATACTTCTTTCTGTGTTAACAGAACAGTCCTGCATACGGGCCCTGCTACAGCTTCATGTTCTTTACAAACTTACTTTCTTTTCTTGCTCATGCATCCTCCCAGCTTTGAATGTAGGTTCTTTTAGTGAAGATCACCTTTATTTTGATTTGAATAAAACTAAGAAAACATAAAATGTCTACTCTGTAGGACCTGTTCTGCAGAGAAACCTGTGGTAGTCATCCAGCAGGTTGTTAGCAGTGACCAAGCTGGTACCTCTGAGGCCCTACAGGCCATCTAAAGAACCTGAATCATCTGACTTGTCTTCTTTATAACATCTTCTTGAAGTTACTGAATTATTGAATTATTAAAACCAAATAGATAAAATATTGTACACTGTAAGTAAAATAATCTTAGATACTTACATTTTGGTAATAATTTCAAAATAAGCAGTTTTATGCTGAAAGTAATGAAACTTCACCAAAACTGAAAGCTGGTGCAGTTAATCATTGGACCAGTGGCTTAGCTCTGAGTCCTATCTCTGTTACTGTCTGGTACTGGGTGTCCTAAGCATACTTTTTTCTTGCCCACATATGTTTATGATATAGAGTTAGTGTCCTGGTTTTGGCTGGGATAGAATCATAGAATGGACCTTAACTCTCATCTACTTCCAACCCAGCCTTCCACTAGACCAGGTTGCTCCAAGCCCTGTCCAACCTGGCCTTGAACACTGCCAGGGATGGGGCAGCCACAGTTTCCCTGGGCAACCTGGGCCAGGGCCTCACCACCACCACAGGGACGATTTTTTTTTTTTGGTGCAGTGCTGTGTTTTGGCTTCAGTCTGAGAACAACCCTGGTAGTTGTTGCTCGGTAGCACATACCCCAATCTAGGACTTTCTCAGTCTTATGCTCTGCCAGGGAGGAGGGGCACAGGAAGCCAGAAGGAAGCAGAGACAGAGCACCTGACCCATAGCATATCATGCCCAGTATATAAACTGGAGGGAGTCACCCAGAAGAGCAGATTGCTGCTCAGGTCAGGCTGTGTATCAGTTGGCAGGTTGTTAGCAATTGTATTGTGCATCACTTGTGTTTATTGTTGGGGATTTGTTTTGCGTTGTTTTTTCCCTTTTAGTTTTATATTTCTGTCCCTGTTATTTCCCTTAGTATTATTCTGTACTACTTTTTTTGAATTATTAAACTGTTCTTAGCTCAACCCATGGGGTTTTCTGTTTCGCTTTTTCCCTGATTATTCTCTCCATTCCACCAAGCAAGGTGTGGTGGTGAGTGAGTGGTTCCATGGTACTTTGTTGCCAGGAGCTGGAAGCTTAGCTCATGTTTTGGAGATGAGAGACACTTGTGGTCTGATTGGACCTCCACTGTTTAGAGGGCCTTGCTAAAAGTATTAGCTCCTATGGAGAGAGCATCACCACCTGTGTCATATATTGTGCTACTAAGTGAATATGTGAAAGAGCTCTGAAGTATTATGAGGAAACATCACACTAGGTTTATTTGATTTGTGGATTTTGCCTTATAGACTGGAAGAGTTTGGCTTGTTTTGTTTCAACTGTTCTTTAATCAGCATTTCCGTGTGTCCAACCAGTTGCCTTGCACGTGGGAATGGGTGATCAGTATGTGACTTGAGGAAAGGCAAAATGGTGTGTTGGCAGCAGGGAATATTGTATACAGTCACATGGAGGGAATTAGTAGTAAGGGGGAACACTCATGTTTAACAATGGCTGAGATATACCTATGTAATTTAACTGCTAGTGCTCGTTAGCTAGGCCTCTGCTTATGTTCTGCATTTTTCTTCCCCCGTCTTGCAGATTTCACAGAATCACTGTATAACTAAGATTGCAAGATGTCTGGGGAGATCATCTGGTCTAGTCCTCTGTGGTGTCCAGACAGACTTTGATTCTCTCTAAAGCTTGGAGACTCTGAAACCTCTTCCATGGCTTGAACACCCTCAATGGAATTTCCTAGATTTCTGTTCATACTTCTCATCCTGTCACTGGATTCTGTTGAGAAGAGACTACTTCCATCTGCCTTACTTCTTTCTACCAGGTATTTATTTGTTTTGAAGAAATGTATGTAATAGCCAACAGTTTGTATTTTACTTTCAGAAATGCCTGACCATTATATTTTAGGTAGCAGAGAGGGTCTGTGTTTGACTTTAAAGTTGTGTCAGGCAAAATCTGTCCACAGAGAAGTAAGAATTAAATACCCCCATTATTTAACACCAATTGTGTACGTACTTTTGCGTTACTGAAGAGTGGGAGAAGCGCAGCCATTAAGTGGATCATCTGAATTTAGACACCCCAAAGGGTAGTCATACCTTACTTTTCAGCCAATCTAATGAAGATAAAGGTGCTTATTTCTAGGTTTTTTTACCTCTACCCTCATAATGGCATGTAGTTAACCCTACATAACACTAGCCAGTGATGCCCATTCTCAGATCCTTTCTCAGCTTTCCTGCCAAGCACACTGTGTTCTTCTGTAGCTCTTGAGTTTTGGACATATTAAAAACTGTTTGTTTTGTCTGCACTCAGACTGTTGAACAACCAGAGCTGTTGTGCCAAATGAAAGTTGAGGATGGTGAGGGAAAAGGCTTGGGGAGAAGTTGTGTTGAAGCCTTCTGCCTTTCTGTTCTTAGAGGTTCCACTTTCTCTGATCATGTGACTGATAATTTATTTTCAAACTCTAGATAACACTTGATTATAAGTAGTTACCTGTCATTCTGCATCACATGCTTTTCAAAGCATAGGCAGCTCCACTCATCTGAAATGGTACTTTTCTTTCCTAACCAGAAACTTGTATGAGTATGACCTGGGTAACTGCGTGTAAGAGAATATGGGAAAACTGATGTGCAGTGATACTAAAAAAGTAATATGGGGAATAGCTGATGATAACTCTAAGCTCGTGCGTAGATGTCAGCAGTTGTAAACAGACAGAGATGTATGAAGAATGATAGGATATGGGATGTTTGGAATAGTGGAAAACTGTTGGCGCTGTTAGCATTATGCTCTTCACGGCACAGATACAAAGAGAAGACACTTGGGAAGGAGGGGACATGGAAACTAATGTGTTGTGCCGTGGAAAGCAGAACATAAAACCTGCTAATAGTTAAGCTGAAGATCTTTGTGTACCACTTACTGCCATAAATCAGGCTTTCCAGCACTGGACAACAGGCGGTAAAATCTAGCTAATGAACCTGGGATACTCAGTGCACGTTGCAAGTATAGAAGCAATTAGTCTGAGACTCTGACAGAGCTAGTGAATGTTTCTAATACCTATAGTATTTTTAAAATAACAATTAAAAAAAATCATTACAGCAGTTTAGAAATTTAATGTGTGCCACAATGTTAAAGGAAGATATGAGGAACATTTATAAGGGCACTTAAATGCACTTCAGCTAAATTAAAAGTGAGATTTGAGCACTTAAAATGAAGACAACACTAAGACCTATTGTGTAAATGAATGACTGATTCTTTCTTTATGTGGCATTTTGGTCCAAGTAGAAGTTTGACACAGAAGAAGGGGTTCACGTCAAGTAGCAGAATAGTCAGTTGTGTCTGCTTGTTAGGAACGTGTGAGACAATGAGCTGTTTCAGACACATGAAAAATTCTGTACAGGAAGAAGAGCAGTTCTAGCAGAAGTTGTTAGCTAGCTTTGCCTGGCTGCCTAGAAAATGCCCGTGGAGGTCCATTCCTGTTCATCTCACTGACCTGTAGGAACCTGGTTGGACTGCAAAATGCAATGCCCATGCTTCAAAAGAGCCTGGCCAAATAGTCTTTTCCGAAAAATATAGTGGAATTTGTTTCTTTTTTCTATTTTGAAGTTGTTTCT